CAGAATACGTATGGAGTTATGGGCATGATACTTTTATTGGGGTGGAAGCCAAATTTCATGAAGTTAAGAATCTAGTACTAGGAATTTATGCGGACAAAGTATCATTTTATAAATGACTTATGTACAGATTAATAAGTCTTTGATATGAAAATTGGTCTTTGATGCAAAATTGGAATGCAATGATCTCCCCACAACTAGGTTGAATGTCAGAGAAAAATATTAAAATTATTCATGGAAACTATCAAAAGGTTTTTTTTTAATCTGATGGACCATCTACAGTTAGTGGATGACAGAGACAGAAAACTGATAATTCTAGAGAATACAGCTATTCTTCAGAAAAACAGATCCTTCTCAAGAATAGATATGATTTGGATTTCATCTCTGTCCTCCAAAGACTTTCTGATCATGAATTTGTGAGTTAGATTTATAAAAGGAAATCCCTATCTGTTAGATATTAAATGAAATGTTGTTACACAAGTAAATAATATTGAAGGATAGTAAGAAGAAATTATTTTTTTCAAAGATTTTTTAAAAAAATTTTAAATAAAGGCATTGATTGATGAGTGGTATGGGATACAAATAAAATTTTATTAGCAGTTATTTCACACAACATAATACTGAAAAGGAGAGCCAAAAGAAAATAGTGTATTTTGTATGAGATAAAAAGAACTAAAGAAATCACCAGAGGAGCATTTCTCAACAAATTAAACTTTTACAACAACAGTTGTAAAAGTTGCAAAAAAACAGTTGCAAAAACATTTCATTAGTATTATTTATATAAAGGGCACTGCATTTCTTTGGAAAACATAGATGATTGCTTTTATGAAAAACAAAATTTACCAAAGATTACAGAGAAGCAAAGAAAGATTGTGAATGCATTAATAACAATAAGGGAAGTTTCTGAAGCTATAAAAAGATCAAATCAAAAAAAGTACCAGGACCATTTGGATTATTAGTTTCTTATTGCAAATGTTTTGAGAATGAGCTTTTACAACTTCTGCAAAATATGTTGGAAATAGCAGTAATATATAGAAACAAATAAGATCTGACTTTAATGAGAAATTATTGATCAATATCATTGAATAAGTTGTTCACAACAATTCTAATCAATAGACAAAATAATCTTGCAAGAATCTATCCATGAAGATCAATGTGTTTTTTGTTATTTAAAAGACCGTTTAGAGCAGGGGTGTCAAACTCTTGGCATCATGTGATGTATTGGGACTTTTTCCCTGTTCACTAAAACCGGGCAGGGGCAGGGCCAGCATGTGACGCATTCATCCTGTAGGCCACGAGTTTGACACCCCTGGTTTAGAGAATAATAGTCTTCTAGTCCAAAACCTGCCCAAGGCAGGAATCCTTAGAACATCTCAAATGACTGACCAATCTTTTTTTAAAAACTTCCGTGATGGAGGACCCATAGCTACAGGAAGTAAGCTGTTCCAATGCTTAATAATTCTGTTAGGAAATTCCTCATTTCCAGGTTAGATCTCTCTCTGATGAACTTCTACAGGTTCTGTGGAGATTTAAATCAACTCCCTCTTCCCTGTGACAACCCTTCAATTATTGGTAACGTGTCAGTTTCATAAAGCTTAACATACCTAGTTCCTTTAGCCATTCTTCATAGCATTTAGCCTCCAGATCCCTTATCAACCTAATTATTATTCTCTGCACTGTTTCTAGGACCTCAATATATCTTTTGTTTTGGGATTACCAGAAGTGGATGTGACCTCACTAGGGCAATATAGAGTGGGACTATCCCCTCCCTTAATCTTGATGCTATCCATCTGTTGATGTAACCCATGACTGTTGGCTTTTTTTTTGACAGCTGCAGCATATTGTTAAGCAGTAGTTCACCAGTTAAGAGAATGTCAGAAGTGGACATTCTAGCTTGTTTAGAACAGTGAAATGAAAATCAAGCTGCAGCAGCCTTCTTTAGATGCAGGGAAAGCTTTTGATAATCTGATATGAACTTTTCTAATTAAAGCTTTAGAGGATATGAACTTTGAAGAAAACTTTATAAAATGAGTAAAGTTGATCTACATGTCACAGAAGGCACAAATTATTGTTAATGGAGAAACTATGTGAGATACATAAAGGAACAAGACAGGGTTACCCACTGTCTCTTCTGTTTATTTTAATTTTGAATAGAGACAATATGAGATGATAGGATAGTGGGAATAAAAATGTAAGAAGAAACATCCAGTTGAGAGCTTTTGCAGATGATTTGGTGCTGGTTTTGGAAATCCCTTAAAAGAAATTGAATTATTAAAAATTGAAAATTAAAAGAATTTGGTGTGTTAGCTGATTTCAAAATTAACAAACAGAACCAAGAAATATGTAGATCCAGATCAAATAGAAATAATAAATAAAATAGGCTTTAAAATCAAGAAGGTAAAATACTTAGGTATTAACAAATATAAAATGCTAGTTTCAAATAAGTCACCAGCAGAGATGGAATGAAGTTAAAAACATGAGAAAATTGTCAATATTGAAGATAATTTCTGTGATTAAGAAGAATTTTTGTCTAGAATGCTATTTTTGTTTCAGAAAACATCTGTTTTAACAACTGATGCACCATTTAAACAATGGCAGAAAGATACATACATTTGTGTGGCTGAGAAAAAGCATTAGTTAAATATCAGATGTTGCAGGATGCAAAAGAAAGAGGATTGGTTCTTATATGAAATTATACTTTGCAGCTAACTGTTTAGTTTGAATGAATAGGTTATTGGAGTTAGAAGGGCACGATTTGAGATTTGGATAGCAAGAATGCTTGTGATACAACAAAGCTAAGGTTAATGTAGTTTTTGAAATATTTTTAAGGCATGCCTTAAAATTATTTCATATTGACAATATGAAATAGTTGTTAACCCAGGTTATGTTTGAAAATATCTTTATGGCTCTCAGCACAAGAAACATTTCATAGATGAGAAATTATAAATAAATATGGTTAATTTGTTTTCACGTTAGAATTTTGTCAGGGAGAATGTAAAATAAAAACAAGAGAACAAGTGGCAGGATATACTTTCTATGGATTTATAGATCAGTTGACCCTACTGGACCAGCATTATGGGAAATACAGGGTTCTATCAAATCTTACTACTAAACAGTAGTACTTCTTACATTATTTAAACAATAGGAAGACATACCAATTAGTATCAATTATATAATAATATTGTAATTATATTAGTACAATCAGTTACTTTTACACACCTCACATAACAGCAGCAACCAGAGAATTCTCGGAAGTTATTCCACTGTGTTTACTTTGAACAGGTACAGCCAGTGAGTTCACATAGCATGCAAAGTCAATTCCAAGCAAACAATATTACTGCTGAGCATAATTCATGAATTAGAGCTGAAACCTGCCTATCATGGCTGAATCCCATGTCTTTATAATATTCAAATAATTGAACTCTGCAAAAGATGCCAAATTAATATTTGAGAAGGATGACGCATGGATTATCTTGCCTTAATTCTAGGAAAGAGTAGAAGAGACCGGGAAGGGGATAGGCAGGTGTGCACTGTGCCCACCCCACCCCCGCTGCATCCATATATGCTCTTAAAGCTCTACCCAGTAAACATTAGCGGCAAAAATAACATTTTAGCATCTTATTTTTATTTTTAAAAGTAGGCAATAGCAAAAAGTATGGTTTTAAAAAAATACGTTTTTAAAAACCTTCCTGGAGAGCAAAAAAACAACAATCATTTCAGTTCTACCTTTTCTAAGGATAAGTAGTGATACAAACGTCTGAACTAAAATTGCATCCTGTACTTATCATCAGCATTCCATAATAGGCAGTCCACATTTAGTGACTACCTCAGCCAGTCCCAATCGTAAGTGCTAAAAAGTACTTTCCTGTACAGAATACTGACAATCTATTGAAGGAGTCACTCTTAATAAGCTTGATAAAAGCCAGGCAATGTCCATGTGTAAGACTCTTGATACTACCATATTTTGAGTTGCTAGATACTGTCTACCTATCCCTAATAAAAGTCCCAGAAAAAATTGCCAAAAATAGTTGGATCCAACTCACCTATCATAGAATTGTAGATAAAATGATAAAATAGGTGAGATCACTGTTACTCTTGACTTATGATGGACAAATATTTCCATTAACAGTAGTCTTTGCGATGTAAAGTTGGCCTCAAGTTGTGTTTGACTCCTTGTGATTCTGCAGATAGAACCATAATTCTCTGCTAATATGGTTTTTTTCCCAAGATATTTTTCTATACTCTACACCTTTAGTATTCTGTAGTGGATTCCCATCCAACCATTAACCAGATCTGGCCCTGCTTAGCTTCAAGCAAAATGCTGCCATCTGGTGATACTTTTGCTGTACATGACATGAATTTGGTCTTGACATCTACTGGTATATTAGACATAATGGTTTATCATACAAAGATATAGGAGACAAAAAACTGTCTTTTATAATTAATTTATTCAGAATTAATGTCATCAAATAAATTACTTACATTTTACAAAAAGGAAAAACAACTGACAAACAGTACAAGGAAATTTCAGAACATGAAGACAATCAGGAATAAATGGAAAAGGGAGTCAGTTCAACCTGAGATAAAAGCAGAGATTTAAAGAACATAGCTTACCATATAAAGTTCAACCTTTCTGATCAAGACAATTTAGTTTATCATAGTAATTATCTGAACCATTTGAAATTGTATGAAAATCATTACACACACGCGGATCAGTTCCCCAGTAATGAGCATTTAGAAAGATATGACCAAAATCTGAAGATTCCAATTATATTTTATAATGATCTGTAAGTACATATACATACATTTGAAATATTCTTAAGGATCACATTACATGAATAAAGTTTTATGTTTTTAATGAGAAATTTTATCATGATGTCATGCTAGCTTCTATCAAACAGAAAAGTATTTACTTTACACTGCATAATTTTATGGATTTAGATTGTCCATTTCATTTTGTAAAATAAAAAAATCCCATTATTCTAGCTTTTTCACATATGAAAAATGTGGTACTTTATTTAGGTACTCCTTTTACTTGTTTCCTCCCCCACACCCAGTCAATTTTTACAGAATGAGTAGAATATTTAAACAAAAAATTAAAACAAATGACTGAAAACCCCTTCCCCCAAAACTGATATTGTATTTTATTTATTAATTTGAATTGCAGATAATGCCTGAAGCACAAAACTATATTCCACAATAATTATAACTGAAGATTGGAATGTAAATTTTGATTTTCCCTGGACAGTCTGCAGTTGGAATTTGTTAATTAATACCAGTCATTTTCTAAAATATACAAATGTAGTATATGCAAATGTAGTCAGAAAGGTATCTATACTAGTCCTGTTAATTTCCTTTATGATCTGCCATATATAAATGTATCCTGCCAGAAATCCATATATTATTTCCAGATAATTACCTGTAATTCATTTAAAATACAAGCACTTTTTAAAACTAAAATGGTAAAGAATTAAAACTGTAACTTTTACATTATCCAATATGAAGTACAGGTAGCCCTTGACTTATGGCCAAAGTTGGGACTCCTGCTAAGTGAAGCAGTTGTTAAAAGAGAGTTATGCCCAATTTTGCAACCTTTTTTCAATATTTTTTAAGTGAATCATATGGTTGTTAAACAAATCTGGCTTCCCTATTAACGTTGCTTGTCAGAAGGCTGTTGGGAAGATCACAATAGGCCATCATGTGACCCCAGAATGCTGGTACTGTCATAAATACATGCCAGTTGTCAAGTATCCAAATTTTGAACATGTGATTGCTCTGACAGTCGTGTGAGATAAGTAACCTTTTTCAGCTCTGTCATAACATCAAATGGAAGAGACCTTGAAATTTTGTTTTCTAAAGCCATACTGAATTTCTGTCACAGTCCAATATAAATTATTCAGTCAAACTATAGAAATACTGGCACAGTACTGAATCTCTTTATTATGTAGTGGCAAATAGAGTTAACAATCCTTTCAGAAAGGAAACTATTTCATTGCCTCCTAGCTTGGATTCTCCGTAGACTCGATCCACAAATGATATAGGAACCTTAAATGAAAAAATAATAAAATCATTTCAGTTATAAGATCCAATAAAAAGATAAACAGGAACACTTCACCTCAAGATTCTGTCTTTATCTACCAACATGTGTTGTGGTTCACCGGCAGCAGGTGCGGACGGCTGAGGTCTCTGAGAGCGAGGACTCAGACGAGGGGCCTGTGTGTGATGCAGGGACGGGCCAGGACTATTGGAGAGTGGGGTGCTGCCTTTGGAGGTTGTAGCAGTGATGAAGAGGACCCCGGGGAGCCTGTGCTCAGGGCTGCTCAAAGGAAAGAGCAGCTGAAGCAGCACGGGCAACTCAGGAGTAAGGCTGGAAGGTGATGGGCCCTCCCATAAGGGATAAAAGCCAGCCTTCAGGGTTAGCTTTTTTGCAGGAAGCAAATAAGTTCTTTCTGCTCAGAGTCCTTGTTGAAGCCCTACTTACTCCAGTTTGTTTTTTGAAACTTCTGGCTTTGGATATTTATCTGCAATTAGTCTTTTGCTCTTGGCAGCCTTTCGCAACCTTGAAAGGGCTTGCTCTTATCTGGGACAATTAGTTTTGAATGACTCTTGGCTGTGAATGCACAGAATTCACAGCACCGCATTAAAAAGGTTTGCTTTGTGTTTGATTTGAACAAGGCTTGGGTCAGAACAACATTAATGGAATGTGTTTTGATGCAGAGTATGAAGTAATAGCTTTCTCACATTTAAATATGCTCAAAGAATATTTCTTACAAAATCATTATTGCAAAACAGCCTACCCAAAGCCTGAATATGAAGATGGCATGCTAAAAAGAAACACCATATTCGGGACTGTCTTTTCTCTCGCTGATTATTATCATCTTTCAAACACTGCCAACAACTCTTTGTTTACTCAAGTTGCAAATCATTTAATTTTGATTGTTGATTCACTATAATCTGTACTGATTGTTTTAGTGCTGTTTTATGATGTGGTGTAATTCTAATCTTTTAAATGAATTAGAAAAAATAATCAGGTTCCTTTTAAATCTACTAAAGTATCTGTATCTTCCTTATGTTGAAATGAAATCCATTATTGTTGCTACAATACAGAATAACAACTTTGCACTTTTTAAAGATACCATATATATCTTATTGAATACAGTATCCATATGTGTTATAGAACAAAAATATACATTTTAGTGTTATGGTGGCTAGTGTATCTATTCTAAAGAAGTATAGGTTCCCAATTTAGTGGTAAATTCATATACCTTGTGGAAATTACTATTTTTTTTGATTTTTGCAGAATACAGTCATATAATGTCTCAAAGGGCCAAAAGGAATTGTAAAACATTCTTACTCTCAAGAGATATTGACCTGCATTATTTTCTTTTTATAGCAAATATCTGAAGTAATGGTTTTGTGAAATTGCACATGGTTTCAATTCACTAACTGTTCATTAAATATAGTCAACACTGTTTTTGCATTATTTTAAGCTACAGCTTATTTTCAGTATAAAACAAGAATGGTAACATTTCAGCATATAAGAGTATATGTTAAAATTATCCAAAGCCCAAATTCAGTCTTTGGAATTCACAGGAAAATCCAATTAGAAATTTTCAGTAAGTATACTCTGCTAGAAATCAACTGGCAAACAGAAACGGAGGGAAAAATTCCCACACCCAAATTATTCTGCCAAACATATATTGCATTTCTATGCATATTTGTTTTTGCCTGTGGAAATTCCAATGAAGACTGCTTTGTAAATTTTCTGTTGACACACAGCAGACATTGGCATAAATTCATGAACAAACATGGCTAAAGGATTCAAGAATCCCAGGGGCATATCTCAAATTGGAATGAAAGGTATAGAATTTTTACACTAAATAGGATTCTCAGACATTGCTAATTTAAGACAATCTACAACTAGCGAAGTAATGTACAATATGGAATGCAGATGAACGTAACCCTATCCCAAGATACTAAACATCTTGATGGACTTCAGCCAGTTGAGCAGAAGTAAAAAAAGGAACTGTGTTTCACTGCTGGTTATGGGGCAAATCACAGAACCAAGAACTCCTTCCCAAAACATTTTTTTACTCTTTCCCAAACTGGTAAAAAAAATCTGACTGTTTTAAAAAGTAAGCTTTGTTTTTGTTTTTGCACTCTACATTGCTAAGAATCCAACAAACACAAAAATAATATAAGAATTTTTAATAAATAAAAAATAACTTCTCTATAGAAGCAGTACCTTGTGACCTGAAACTTGTATGAGATTTAACAAGTGATAAAATATTAGACAAAGATTTATCAGGCACAATACTAGGTCCTTGGTAATTAAAATGGCTTTTTTAATATACCATGACAAAGATATTAATAACTTTCACCTTCACTACATGACTAGTGATGAAGTCATCAGACCAAATTTACCATGATGCTGGAATATTAGAGAGTATGTATTACAGGCTAATTGTAGAAGCTACGGCTGGAAATATGGCATTAAGCTTCTTTGAATTTAAGTGGGTGCCTTTCTCAACCCTGCATCTTTAAATGATAGAAGAAATGATCACATTGTAACAGCACCTCTTATTTGTTCATATTTGTGTGTCACTGAAAGTCAGATTCATCATCTGATTAACTTTATGATGCTATGGCCAATTAGCATTTGTGTTTAAACTACCGGGTAAATCAGTAATTGAACTTTAGTGAAAGCCACTCATGCTATATGATCTTATCTGAATCCTCAGTGTTTTTACTTGTCAATCAGTTCAATCTCTAATAGCCAGAAGGTAAACTTTGAGCACAAAATGTAAATGTAGTTATGTTCTTTACGTTTTAGATTTTTAGCATACCTCTCCAATAGAATAACCCAATTGTCTGGCCCGGACAATCATTTCCATTTGGAAAACGTATCCTTTTGAAACACATTTCTCCATCAGTTTTTGTAGAACCTCTTTTCTATATAACCTGAAATTCAGTACACATAAAATGTTTACAACAGGTCAGTTACAGACACACATAATTTCAAGTAATAAATAAGTAGTAAAAAATAAATAAATAATAGCAATAGCCTGTATGCAGGTGCCTCCCAAATGTTATCTAACCATTTTATAAGTTCAGTAGATATCTTTATCAGACTGGCCATTATCGTGAAGCATTCTTGCTCATCATTGTTCCGTGCCATTTAGAAACCAGCTTACCTGAAGCTTCCTGTTAAGTCTGATGCACCTGGACGTAATAAAACTTGAGTTAAAAAGTTGGCACCCCGGCTGCAAAGTAAGATACAATGTTTTAATATGCAATCAGAATTTTAAAACGAGCTATTAACCCATTTTAAAGATGTTTCATTAAAGGATTAGAATAACACAGAATAACATAATTTACATTAACAAATAATTTTAAGCACAACTCTTTTGGATCCCTGAAATATAAGGCCCAATGCTAGTTCAATGTTTTGCTTCTTGCAAATGGGATGGAGACATAAATGTCTCCTACCTTCATTTCCTGCAATTAGTGCATTAGTAATTTTGAGGCTAAGATGTCTCCTATCTGGATATAATATTGAGCTGAGTTTTCAAGAATGTTTAAGAACATGGTATTCAGTTTCAGAATATCTCATGTGGAGAATATGTTTATAAAATAAAACTAGATAAAAAGATGTGTAGCTGGGCAGGATAGAAATGAGAATGAGAATTTTTCCTTCAGTGTTCTCAAAATTAAAGAAATCTTTTTAGAATCTGAGCCTGGGAACCCTCTCAAAAGTAATTCAGAGAAAGAAAATGGTCTGTTTCATGAGGTGCTTTTTGCTAGTGGTTCAATAGCAATAGCTAACGGGGCTATAGATGAAACACTGACCTGATCAGTTTTCGTTTTAGATCCCATCCATGCACACCTCCATTTCCTTTATATCGAGTCCCCGACACAATATCAAAATTTCCTTCTTTCTGTTTTCTACATAAATAATCATTGGACAGAGAAAAGAAAGTGGGTGTTTTTCTGAATTACAAAGTCACATATTTAGTGTAGCTGTAATCCAGAAACAGATAAATACACCAATGATACTAAAATTGTTAATGTGCAATACAAAAATAAAACAAACTAAAAATACTTTTTCATCTTCAAAGTATATAGTTAGAGCTAGAGAATAAAACATACTTTGAGCAATGCAGATATTTGCTGTGCAATTTAAATGAGCACAAAGTAAATAAACAGCAGAAATCACAGAGTATTAGGGAATTATGTTTGTAAATAATGTTATTTTTATTATGACCTATTTATCAAACTAGGTATGGCATGCTACCTCATACTCCATAATTAAGAGATAATTAAGATATTACAGTAGTGTGTGAGGTATTACACATTCAGAGATTTTCCTTTAACTATTTCATCAGCTGTGGTAGCCTATGGTAGCCAAAAATCCAAAGGAATGTCAGCACCTTTTTTGATGAACCATTTTATTGAAAGGCCAAAGCTTTGGTGAAATGTAATTCACTTCATCAGAGGTATGGCACAGTTAAATTGATGTAAGATTTAAAAAAGGAATATCCAGTAGGTGAGGAGAGAACAAGCAGTTACGCACATGTAGATTACATGTGAATCATATTACTAGAACCTCACCAATTATCTAACACATTAAAGTGATATGATCATAGTAAACTATAACAACAAATAAGAAACAGAAAAAACAACATATTTTCAAAATTCCTAGTATTCCAACTGGTCCTAAGTGTTTGTGACTTACATTTTCGAAACAAATGACTTATTTCTCTCATGAAAGAGTTTAGCCAAAATCTCTGGATGGGAAGTAATACATCATATTATGTTGACAAGCTATGCAACACAAGTGCATTATCTTCTACAGTGCAGTTTTGTAACAGCATAGTGTATATTTCCTCTGGTATTCAATCTTACTGTCTATCCCTACCAAAAATAAACACCACAAAAGGGTAATAAACTATAAGACCTGGGTTTAAATATTAAAAATGCTACTCACTTGATAAACTCTGGAATGAATTTAGGCTGCAAGGATAAAAAAAAAGAAAAGGTATAAGGAAAAGCAATAAAACCAAAATCAATAAAATGAATTTTTTTAGAACATAATAAAAACTATCAAGACCATCAGATTGAGAAAGTTTGGGAAATGAGTGGGTTAAGATCTTATGGGAAATTAAGATTCAAACTAGCAGGCATCTTATTCTCAACCTGATATTGGCCTGTACTACTCAATCTAGCAGAAGGGACACGCCTCATTAGTCAAAAGGTTTCAGTTGGCAGAGTCTTAGAAGGAGAGCCTTTCCTGCCATGGCCCCATTCTTTGAAATATCCTGCCACTTCAAGTAAGGTCTGCCTCCACCCCTTTAACTTTCTGGAAGGACATTAAGCCTGGCTCTGTCTGTTGGCCTGGGGTCCTGATGGGGGTGGTTTTTGCTGGAGGTGGCTGGTGAACTCATGAAGAAAATGCTACTGGTACTATGGTACTGATTTTGCCTTTTGCCTCTTATTTTCTTTAATATTTTTATATGTAAGCTCTTAATTGTAAGCCACCCAGAGTCCCTTTGCAGAGTGAGATAGGAAGCAGATAAATTCACTTTAAATGATTAATCAATTAAATAAAACAATTTTAAAAAGTCTGGTTCATTGATATGGCTACACTAGGTTATGCTAGGATTGAGGAAAAACAATAAAAAAAAATACTGGGACTTGCAGATTGTAGTTGAACACCTATGGAACAAGAAATCCCTTGTTATGAATTGTGATTGGACTCCTCAAATACCTAAACAACTTCCTTGATATCTGGAAATACTAAATTTTCCAGGCCGGAATACCCTAATTTTTGGGGGGGGCGGGGGGAAACACCCCTGCTTGGAACTCTCTATATTCTGAGATGCCACCTTAATCAATCTTGGGTCATTGATTAGGACTTGAATTTTAATTTTCTGCCTGTTGTAGATGGTGACTCTAACTATAGATTACCCATACATAATAATTTATTAAATTTACATCCCACCTAATTCCCACATTCTGGATGGTTTACAATTCTAAAACATTTAAAAACAAGTAAAAATAAACAAAATAAACCCATAGGGGAACAAAAAGAAGGAGCCATCAGTTGTCCTTTCCAAAGGCTTGAGGAAAGAGCCAGATCTTCAAAGGACTTCAAAATACAGAAGGGTGGTTAATCAAGGCAAATGAAATGAAGAAAATGTTTAAGAAGAAAAAATAGAGAAGAGCAAACTTACATGGTGCGACAGATCAGCATCCATAATAATAATGAAGTTTCCTGTGGCATGTTTCATTCCATGAATGTAAGCAGTTCCTGATGTAAACAATATAAAAGCCATGATTCCCCTCTCCTTTAACAATCATGCACATGAATAAAACTGTTTGACATTAATTAAAATAATCTCATCTCTATGTATCAAATATGATAGTTTCTCCCCATTCTATAGAATCTGACAAGAGCTGGGTCCCATTGATTAAACAGCTTATACAGGCCTTGTCTATCTTGGGCAACTGCCATCTGGAACATCCTCCTACCAGAGATTCATGTAGTTCCAATCCTAATCCAGTTAGAACAAAAAATAGACCCCTTGTGGAAATTTTTGTTTTTGTGTATAGACTTTTTAAAATTAAATATTCTCTCTTTATTTTTGGTGTAAGCCAGCCAGCTCATACAGAGGGGGGTGGGGGGTGGAGAGCTATGAACACAATACAAATATTAAAAAATTATTCCACTATGTAACAATCTCATTATGCCAATCTTCTGTTTATATAGCTACAAAATTAACACTTGCTACTTTTTATGTGACTGTTAATTTCTTACATGACAGTGATTAATTCTGAGTAGCACCAAAAGTAATTTTGTATGTTGCCAAATAAATGTGTATATTTTCTGCTTCTCTGGTTCTCAAAAAAACAATGCATGCAATTAACAGCAAAATTAAATTCTGAGTTAAATTCATTTTTAAAAATAAAAATATACTTGATTGAAGTACAGTGGTCTCAATAATTGATACAATATTGTTAATCATCTATTGACTACTTACCCAATCCAAGTTTCTTTGCTCTGGGTCTCAATAGCTGTAAAGTACAAGTACATCAAAAAATAAGATAAACCATACTCTGCTCTAATGATCATGTACTTCCAATAAAATTTCATTATTGCTCTTTTGTTCTTCCCTCAAACAAAATGACTATACTCATAGGGTAAAATTTGACATTGCACAAATGGATTTTAGTCTGTATTTTCCTAACATTGCTGTAATTTACCTAGATTAAAGCTAGGTATTTTGTATGATTCCCTGAATTTAGAATGTATAGGAAATATCTTTACTGTAACCTTATAATAATATGTCTATATTTAAATATAGGTGAACTTATATTTAAGGCTCTTTCCCCTCCCAGTTCCTGCAAGTAAAGTACCTACTCCAAAGGAGTGTGTCCCGATAATAACCATGACATAGAGAATCAATAGGTAGTTTTCAACTTATGATCGCAATTGAGCTGGAATTACTAGCCGTTCTGGTCATTAAGCAGGTCATCCTGTGACTGATCTGATTTTACAACATTTTTTGCTGCAGTTGTTAAGTGATTAAGTGAATACCACACTAGTTAAGCAATTGTCTACCAGGGATGTGGTTTTTTTTTTACCAGAAACTGGAAGTAAGGGATGACAAGCTATTTTCAATTAGCTAAATCATTTCAAAGTGAATTCCATTTCTCTATGCTAACTATTTGAAACACTTTGATAATAATAGTATGGCAGCTAAGTCAGGGGGAAAAAAGTAACTTACAATTTTGTCTGATCCATAAATCTTTATTAACTGGACAGCAACTTCCTGCGTCCCATCTGGGCTTCCATCATCTATAATTACAATTTCGAATTCATTCCCACTGGAAAAAAAAAAAGAATTATTTTGAAAAGTCAGGTCCAAAACGGAGCTGATCTGTACAGGTGGAGAGGGAGAAGAATCCCCAATGGTTTCCCATTGAAAGTAAGTGTAGTCATTAACCCTATTACTTTTATTTGGAAAGTCACATTTACTGTAACATATTGTTTGTCATTTTTTTTTCTTGGCAATACTGTAATGACAACAGTATTGAGCTTGGACTCAAGGTGCTCGGCTCCAAGACAACACCCCCCCCCCCCCCCCACAAACCAACAGCTCCCTGGAAGACCTGAGGTCACATACAAAGATCTCGCGGGGGCTGCTGTTCGGATGAGGCGGTGCGCCTTCCGCGTTCAGCTGGCAGAGAAACGGAGGGAGAGTTGCAGTAAATCAATGCAGCCCAAGTCAGGAAACCCGCCAGGAAATATCATCAATGGGGAGGAGCTGGGAACACACTTAGCAAAGGCCCTTCCCCCAGGCCGCTCTCCCGCTGCTAGTCACCTCTCCTCGAAGCTCTTCACCAGCAGCCAGACCACCAGGGGAAGATTCTCGCGCTCGTTGTAGGTGGGCAGTAATACCGAATACTTGCGAGCCTCGGACGCCATGACACAAGGCCCGCGTACTCAACCGCGCTTGCGCGTAACCGCCAGCCAGTGGGCGGGTACAGGGGAGTGTCGGCGGCGTCTCTCGCGTCGTCGGAAGCGGAATGAGCACTCAAGGTCGCCGGCAAAGAAAGACGGTTGCGGCGATGGAAGTTGTGCAGGCCGCTCGTCTTCCCCGCTCGGAAGACTCGGAGGATGACGGAGGCGGCGGCGGCGACACGCCGGATCCTTCCGCTCTCCGGACGGGACTAAGCCGGCTGGATATCCAGCGCTATTCGCGGCAGTTGGTGCTGCCGGAGCTGGGCGTGCGGGGCCAGCTGCGGCTTTCCTCGTGCGGGGTGCTAGTGGTGGGCTGCGGAGGGTTGGGCTGCCCGCTGGCGCAGTACCTGGCCGCTGCGGGCGTGGGGCGCCTGGGGCTGGTGGACCACGACGTGGTGGAGCTGAATAACCTGCACAGGCAGGTGCTGCACCGGGAGAACCGCCTGGGCCACTCCAAAGCGCACTCGGCGGCCGCCGCGCTGAAAGAGCTGAATTCCGCCGGGCGGTACGAGCCTTACGAGCTGGCGCTGAGCCCCGCCACCGCCTTGGATCTGATCCGGACTTACGACATCGTGGCCGACTGCTCCGACAACGTGCCCACCCGCTACCTGGTCAACGACGCCTGCGTGCTAGCTGGCAAGCCCTTGGTGTCCGCCAGCGCCTTGCGCTTGGAGGGCCAGTTGGTCGTGTACAACTTCCAGGGAGGGCCCTGCTATCGGTGCCTCTTCCCCAAGCCCCCTCCTCCTGAGACGGTCACCAACTGCGCCGACGGTGGGGTCTTGGGGGTGGTGCCCGGCATCCTCGGCTCCCTCCAGGCCTTGGAGGTGCTCAAGATTGCCTCGGGGATGGGATCCTCCTTCAGTCGGTCGATGCTGCTCTTCGATGCCCTTGAAGGACGGTTTCGCCACATCAAGCTCAGGCCCAGGGATCCCAAGTGCACTGTGTGTGGGGACCGGCCCTCCCTGACCACCCTGCAGGATTATGAAGCTTTCTGTGGGTCTTCAGCAACCGATAAGTGTCGGACGCTGCGCTTATTGTCCAGCGAGGAGAGGATTTCTGTAGAGGAATACAAGAAGATTCTAGACAACCAGGTTGCTCATGTACTGGTGGATGTACGTCCCCAAGTCGAAGTGGAGATCTGTCGCTTGCCCAGATCCCTCCAGGTGCCTTTCAATAAACTAGAAAGAAAAGATGAAGAATGTTTGAAGTCTTTGTACCGGAAGATACACAAAGAGAAGCAGAGGACTAATGGCACTGTTGCTTTTCCAATTTATGTTGTCTGTAAATTAGGAAATGACTCCCAGAAAGCTGTGAGAATATTGCAGGAACTGCTTTATGGTGAACTAGGCTTAATTTCAGTTAAGGATATCAAAGGAGGACTCATGGCATGGGCTGACAAAATTGACCAAGATTTTCCTCAGTATTAATGTTTTCCCTAATAGCAATAATAATAATAATGATGAAAATTCATTGGTTTTATTTGGTTTTTGGAAAGGGATTTGTTTATATGTTTATATTTTCATTTGGTTCTCTGGAAATCTCACTTTAAACTATTTAGTTCTTTTAAAATATACTTTTTTCATAGGATTCCTCAGAGTCCTAGATTCCACAAGAATTTAAGATCTTAGGAGGGGAAAAATGGGTTATTTGGATACAGCCAGGGCCATCACTTGAGGAAAAGGCAGGAACTTGTACTGCGAAAATGCACTACATCTGCTATTTTGCTGCAAGGAGTTCTAGGAAAAATTGTAAAATGTGTTGTATGCCCTGAAAAAGTTTAGAATTCTTGCTTTAAATAAATCACCCAAAGTAACTTATATATTTGGGGTGGGAGAGAAAACAACCCTCTCTGTGTAAAGGGGATAAAAGAGGGAGGCATGTGAAAGAGGGAAAAAAAGTTGTGGATTGGTTCTTCAAGTTCTTAAACAATGAACAAATGAACATAATGCATACTAAAGAGATGGATGGATGGAATGACCCTGTTTCACATTTCATTTCCCTCCTGTAGCTTGACCAATAATTATATTGTTCTATAATAAAACTATACAAAAGATGCATTGTCCAATATTCCCAGGATCAAATACTGCTGATTTAATTGTATCCGTCTTTGAATTCCTGTTGAATCCAAAGGTATCATTTTGTGTCTTTTAATATTGCCATTTTATATTATAAAATTATACCATAACTCTCTTTAGCATATTAGGTTATAGTATTTGAGTACTTCCTTTTAAAAAAAATAAAAAATTCTGCAATGATACAATGGCATGGTATTCCTGTCTGTTGTGAATATAGGATTCTGTTTCCTATAGAAAGAGTAGGAGCAATTCTGCTTCACCACTAATGCTGGCCTCTTTGCATCTGCCCTAGGTCCCTTGTTTTGTTTTTCTGTACATTAAGAGGACAGTTTGTAGACTAGAGACATGGTAGATAACCTCAGGAGTCAGGCTCATAACACCAAGGCTCAGAAATGTGTTGACAATCAGCATTGGTACCTAAAAACATAAAACGAGCCCTGCTGGATGAGGCCAAAGATCCATCTAGTCCAGCTTTTGGTGCCATACGTTGATTCAGCGTTTCTCAATTTTGGCAGCTTGAAGATGTGGGGTCTCCAATTCCCAGAATTCCCCAGCCAGCATAACGTGGCTGAAGAATTTTGGAAGCTGAACACATCTTCAGGTTGCCAAGGTTGAGAAACACTGCATTGACCAATGAGAGAGAACTATTCAGCAAGGTTGGAAGACTGGTAAACCATCTCAGAATTTTTGGTACTCCTTAGCAGCTCTTCCTTAAGATAGGCTAAAAATCTGCCTTCAAAACAAAAAGCAATTGATAGCCTCTATAGAATTTGACCAGTCCTCTTCCGAAACAATTAGAGAATAGAATAAAAACTTTATAGTCACTTTAAATGTACACTAATCAGCATACATTAAAATGAAATTTTGTTGCATTCAGCTTTCAAAAGAACCATTATGCATATACCCCTCCCCCACATATATGATAGAGAAACATCATAGTTTAGTTCGAATATATACATATACATGGCGAAAACAATCTGAGTTACAAGACAGCATAAAGAACAAAGCTGTTACAGAATCTAGTAGTCCTGCTATAGATACTTCAAAACAATCTAAATCCAATTCACTGATGAATAAATAAATGAGTAACCTATACTTTGTTGGCACTAAATTCTATACTTTATACTAAATATTTTACAGATGAAGCTGCCTTATAGTGCCTTTTTTTTAAAAAAAAAGTTATTTTTTTAGACAAACATAGACAAACAACATAAAAACATCAAGCCATCTTCCACACATGTACATACAGTGTGTAGGTTGGTTTACAAATTGTTTTGTGCATCCACTTCATACTCCTTGAAAAAGTGTTTGTGCTTGAAACTGGTCCCTGGTACAAAAAAGGTTGGGGACCACTGTTCTAAAGTACCCCTGTGTTTTAGTTCCCTTGTATCATAGGAAGGCATGCCACCCCAACAACAGATCATGTCCTTCTAATGTCAACAATATAGTATTTCTTAGTGTTATCCATTCCCTAACCCACATCAGATTTGTAGCTTGGTAGTACAACTCCCAATTAGGCAAACCAAATCCTCCTCTAACTCTAGCATCTTGCAAAAGTTTTATTCTCTCTTTCGTACCCTGCCATCTATATTTCAACACAATTTTATTTAAATCTTCAAAGTAATCTTTCCCTAGCCTAATTGGAATTGTTTGAAAAAAATATAAAATTCTGGGTAATATATTCATCTTGATTGTTGATATTCTCCCTATTAATGATAATTGTAAGTTTTCCCATTTCGCCAAATCTTGCTATCTGTTGCTTGAGTTTAATATAATTATTCTTTTTCAGTGTGCTACATCTTGCTGTCAAATGTATCCCCAAATACTTGATCTTATTTGTGACCTGAATTTTCAAAACATCCGCCAATTCTTCCTTTTGTCTTAATAACATATTCTTTGTCAAAATCTTTGTTTTATCTTTATTTATTTTCAGACCAGCTACCTTTCCATATACCTCTATCTTTTCTATCAATTTTAATGCTGTTTCTAGTGGGTCTTCTAAAATGAAAACCAGATCATCTGCAAATGTTTGCAATTTAAATTCTTCCTTTTTAATTTTCATCCCTTTTATATCCTTTTCTTCTCTAATGTTTCTATTTAGCACTTCCAAAGTTAACACAAACAACAGAGGTGACAGTGGGCAGCCTTGTCTTGTTCCTTTTCTTATGTCAATAGAATCCGTCAATTCTCCCTCTATCATTACCTTTGCTGTTTGCTTATGATATATAGCTTCTATTGCATGGATAATTTTTTTATCAAAGCCCATCTGCTCCAACTGTAATAACATAAATCACCAATTCACATTGTCAAAGGCCTTCTGTGCATCTAGAAATATCAAAGCTATTTGTTTTTCAGGATGTGCCTCGTAATACCAAAGTATCCAAGATTACTCTCATATTGTCTTTAATTTGTCTCTTTGGCAGAAATCCATTTTGATCAGGATGAATAAAATTATTTAAGTATTTTTAATTTTTTCTGCCAATATTGAAGCAAAAATTTTATAATCTGCATTTAGTAGACAAATAGGTCTATAGTTCTTGATTTGTAGTGGGTCGGTGTCCTCCTTTGGGACAAGTATAATATAAGCTGACCATGATTTGGGTATCCTCTTCTTTGACATAACTTCATTCATAATTTCTAACAATGGGAGATTCAACGATTCTTGTAATGTCTTATAATGTCTTATATATCTGGACCTGGTGCCTTTCCATTATTTTGCTTCTTAAGTGCTTCAGTTAACTCCATCATCGTTATATTGCTTTCTAACATTATTTCAATCTCTTTAGGTATCTGGGGTAAGTTAGCATTCTGTAAGTACTGTTTAACTCTTTCATCATCAATATTCTCTTGTGTGTGTAGTTTCCCATAATAATCTCATATGATTTTCTTCTCTTCCATAGCAAGCTTGGCCTTGATCGTCTATTAATTGCAAT